GTTCCCATTCCCACGTGTTTAGGCCTCGCCCCCTTTCCAGGTCCAGGGTTCTTTTTGGATATTATGACAGTGAGATTATTGTCCTTTTAAAGGGAGAGTACCTCCTGCTCACTGGAATATTGCCTTACCTTTTATGATTAATAGTTTAAATAAAACATGTATGATCTGGTGTCATCATTTTTTTCTCTCTTTTTTTTTTCTTTCTTTTTTGTTTGTTTTCTAGTTTACTTATGATCCTGTGTCTGTTTTGCCCCTTACAGAAGAAAAGTATTATTTGGTGTGGTATTTTAAAATATTTTTAAAATTTTACCATGATTCTATTAAATATTTTTGCTTTATATTTAATGGATAGTAATAGTTATTTTCTATTTAAGAATGCATATTTAACAGTCAGTCATTGACATATACTTAGCAAATGGTTTAAAAACAATGATTCTAAATAAATAAACTTCATTAGAATGATATGTTCTATTTTTTTTCTTTCAATGTAGGTCCCAATAGTTTTCATATAAATGCCATTGCCTTTCCTCTGGAAATGCTGGTTTAATAGAATTGAGATGAGGTAGTTTGCCAAATTATTTTGAATTTCAGTGGAACTGGCTAGAAATGTAGATTGTTAGAATTATAATTTTCATAGTAGGAATATCTGTTTTTCACAAATATTCTAGGTCATTTTTTCTTACTAGAGAATTTTAGCAAAAAGTGATTCAAAGAGTTTAAATAAGAAAAATTAGAAGTTACAAACAAATGAAATTCTCATCAACCAATAAAAAGCAATTTAACTCTGTTCTCACTATTTCTCTTTTATCCTTTCAGTGTTTCCTTTTGTAAATACATTCTAAGGGGCATTGGTAGGAGCAGGGTTGAGGAGGGATGTGGGTTCCAAAAAAACCTGTAAAAATTCTCATAAACCTTGAAAATCACTGGATTTTACTGTTTCATGATTCATGATAAATTCATTCTTTATTTTTTCCTTCCTTTTAATTTTCCATGGATGCTCAAGTTGTTATTGTTCTTAATAATAAAGCAGCAGTACCCTGTCTTTTTGGTACTAGAGACTAGTTTTATAGAAAAGAATTTTTCCACAGACCAGCAGCAGGGTGAGGCTACGTTTTGGGGAGGATTGAAGTTTATTACATTCATTGTGCACTTTACTTTTATTATTACCTTGTATTACATAATGAAATAATTATACAGCTCATCATGATGCAGAATCAGGGGGAGCCCTGCAGTAGATTCTTCACATGTGTAGTTCACTTCAGAGTTCTCTGCTCCTATGCAAATGTAGTGCCCCTGCTGATTTGACAGGAGGCGGAGCTCAGGCAGCGATGTCAGCTGTGTGGCGCAGAGGATGGGGTCTTAGTGATAAAGGGTTTACTCACCTTTCATAAAGAAACTTTTACATTAAAATTTTTACTTTCTCAGCTATACCACTAATACCACGTCTGACCTTGTGAAAATGGGTGTAAACCATTAACATATTACTTCATATATAGTAAATGCTTAATTTGTTGTAGCTGCTATTGATATTTGTGTAAATACCATTCTGTTTTTATCTTAAATTTATTTCTATATTTTTAAGTTATATATACATAATTAATTTTTCATGTGGCTCTTTTATTTCATGTTTGTGGTTGTGTTCTTTTTTCATAAATTTGAATTTTGTGTCTTAAACTAAATGTATACCTTGTTATACATACACAGAATCAACATACATATGTAGTTTCCAAGTTTATTATAATTTCATTTTGTCAAGCAATATCAAGTCAAAAGTTGGGTTCTTTTGAAACATTTAAAAACTCACTTTTGCCTATTATCCATAGAGTCCATTTTGATATGCCTTGGAAAGATAACAGGAAAGTGTTTTCCTATAAATAAGTACTATGGCATTAACTGAGATAAATTCTTTCTTTCATCATACATTCATTTAATTACATTATAGATTAGTATAACCAAAAGCAAACTCTTTGTTTGATAACTCCAAATCATCATCTTCCTGTATAAATTATCTTAAGTTAATTTTGCTACTACCTAAGTGAAAAATGGGGACCCTTTTGGACTCAACCTTTCTTTATGAACACTTCTCATAAGTTCTTTTAGTTAATCCCTCTTTTAAATTACCAACGACTCTAATTCAGACTCCTGTAGTATTTCCCCTAAACCTTTTCAGTGGTTTTCAGGATTATCTTTTTCTGTCCTTGCTTAATCATCTCCCCCTACGCTGCTGCTGTTTTTTTTCTTAAACTATGGAGATGTCATATCACTTTCCTGGCCAGAATTCTTTAGTGATGACACATTATAGAAAAATCAAAGGCCAGTTTCCTAAAGGTGTCCTACAAGTCTCTTCACAATTTGCTTTTTTACCTTTTCCTAAACACTGGGGAAAGTTTCGGCAAGCCTCTGTGCTGTGCCATATTAAGATTCCTCTGCTGGAATCAATGTTTATTTACTCCTGTTTGCTCAAAAATTTCTTTGTATCCTTGAAGTTTAGTCTTAAGTTTCATTTCACTCTTTCAGTGAATTCTTCTGTGATAACCTTCTCTGTTTATCTTTCCTTTCCTTGCTATTCTCAGTTACTGCTTTTCTTGCTCCCATGGCTGTAGTTTAGATACTCTCTGTTGTTTTCATGTTGGTTTCTCTTCTGAAACTTAAGGGTGTATGTTGCATGTGGTTAAACACCCTCAATCTGAGAGTGGGTGAGGTACTTGGCATAAAGTAAGCTCTCAGTAAATTTTTTTAATGAGTGAATGACTCTGAGAGGTCAACAATGTCAGTTTTAGAAGAAATAAATCTCATTGTGATGGCATATTAGATAAAATATCAGAAATTTAGGTAACAGTGTCTTATGTATGGGTGCCAAATATGTATTAGGAACTGTTCTTCATAGTTTTTAAACAGTATTTATTATGTATAACATTCACAGTGACTCTGTAAGGTATACATTATTATTTTCCCCTTTTTAGAGATGGAAATAAGAACAAAGATGCTAAATAATTCACCAAACCTCAGAACTAGGAACTTGGGAACCCAATTCATGTCTATGTGAATTCCAATTCATCCTGCCCAGTGCACTAAATTATCTGGAGTAATAACAACTCAATAAATATTTGTTGAATGAGTAGTTTTCGATATTAGGTATGCCAGTCAATATAAATTTAATATTTAACCATCTTTGGGCAAGAAATCTTTGCCTGTACCCATGCATCTAAGCATTTATTTGTGGTTTTCTTATTAGAAACTTAGTTTTTAATATCATACTCTAGAAGGCAGATTGTGTCTCTGTATCATTAGGTAGCATTCTGCTTGTATTTCCAAACATCTTAATTTTTCCACTTTCATATTTCTGTAAGATAGTTCTTAAATGTATTTAACACATTTTTATGACTTCTTGATAATTTTATAATATTTAGAAACAGCTGTAAAATGAATACAGTAAATATTTTCCACTTCTGATTTTAATGAGGACTAACGTATATGTTGCTTTTTGATCAAGTGAAAGACTCAATTTGCAATGAATTAAAGAGGATCTAGAATGAAACGTGAAGGATACTTGTTTTACTTATTTAAATAGTTTGATCTGACCTTCATTTTTCATTCTGCAACATTATTATTTTTTATTCCTTCTCTGGGTTCAGTTCATTATTTTTATTTTCTAAAGAGAAATGAATAAAATTGAATTCTGTTCAAAATGTTTCAGACACCTTAAGATAACTAATATTTCTGTGATTGAGAAATGCTATTGCAATTGTATCTTTATCTTTCTCAAAATATGTACATATGAAATAATTGAATAGTGCACTTAAATAATCTATAGAACAAAGTTGGTACTTTATATTTTATTTTTGGGGAAAAAAAAAACAATCTCCCTGACCCCCCAGGCCTACTTGTTCAAGTATCTGTAAATCATCTGTATTTTTATGTACTTCAGAAAAAAAATTTGTTTATTCCCTGCATTTAGACTATTAACTTTTTTTTTTTTTTGACAGAATCTCCCTCTGTCACCCTTGGTAGAGTGCTGTGGTGTCACAGCTCACAGCAATCTCAGACTCTTAGGCTTAAGCAATTCTCTTGCCTCAGCCTCCCAACTAGCTGGGACTACATGTATCTGCCGCAACGCCTGGCTATTTTTTGGTTGTAGGTGACGTTGTTTGGCAGGCCTGTGCTGGGTTTGAACCCACCAGTTCTAGTGTATGTGGTTGGTACCTTAGCCGCTGATATACAGGTGCTGAGCCAGGCTATTAACTCTCAAAAGGCCAATTGTTAGATCACAAATTGTTACAGAACTCAAATTATCTCATATCAAGATAGACACTCAAAATGCTTTTAGTAACGACCAGTAAATAGAAAATGAGAACTCAATATGAATACATTATTATTAACATTCACACATTATTAAATACATAATTGTTACTAGTTTTAATAAATAAAAATTATGGAATTAAAAGCATCTAAATTTTATAAATCTTATAATGCTGTTTTCCTGAGAGGTCTTTCCTGACCATGTAATCCAAAGTAGAATACTGTTGTATTCTTTCTCAGCTTACACTGTATTGTTTATCCCTACTGTAATCATCATGACTTATAATTCTGTATTTGTTTAATTGTGTTGTATATGTCCCTTTTACTAGATCATAAATTCCAGAATAACTGGACCCATGGTCTGTATGGTCTGCCTTGGGTATCTGGAGTGCTTGACACAGTGTAAATGTTATTAAATGAGCAAGAATATAATTGTATTTCTGTAATTTTGGATCTCGGTTTAGTGGAAGGGGTGTCAGTCTGGGGTTGAGTGGGTCTAGCTTTGTTTCCATCTCACATTTATTCTTCGTGTGCCACTTCTTTCATCTGTGAAATGAGCAATGGGAAGGAGAACCTTGGGAAGTGGTATCGCATGGTCATTAATAGACCTTCAGGCATTTTCTCATAGGGTTTTATGAATATTGTAATTGCATTTAATAACCAAACATTTCATGTTGATATCTATAATTTTTTTATTTAAGTGGTACATGATCAGCATTGTCCACATTTACAATCGATGGAGGAACAGTGAAATTCGGTGTTATGTTAACGGACAGCTGGTATCTTATGGGGATATGGCATGGCATGTGAATACAAATGATGTAAGTTTTTTATTTTTCAATATATACTTTAATGTATTTGAGAATATGACCTACCACTTGACATGAATTTAATAATAAAATAGTTTGGTGAAATGTAGAAACTTTAAAGGCTTATTCTTTTTTTAAAGTGATTCTTTCCGTCTTTTAGTATATATAAATTGCTAAAAGATCTGGTTAGCATTACAAAAACAGGAAAAGTACTTGACCAAATTTTTAAATATCTTTTTTTCCTGTTGAATTAACTTTAAAAAAGTTTTTTTATTATGTCATAAACACATAGATAATATGTACATTTAAGCCTTTATGGGGTACAATATGTTGATTTTATATATAACTGGGAATGCTTACATCAAACTAGTTAATATAGCCTTCACCTCATTTACTTAATTGTGTTAAGACATTTATACTTTATACTTAATAAATTAGACGTGTACCCTTGGAATATGAACCATAGGAATGGTCCCACTGTTTATCCTCCTTCCATCGAATCCCCCCCCCCGCTCCGATCCCCCTTCTTAAGTATCTTAAGTCAAAAAACATCAATGCAGTATTTTCTTTTTTCTAGAATCCCAAGCACTAAAAAATGTGTTTTACCCCTTATTTAAATGGAGGGAAGACCTTACAAAGAAGGATTTGGTATGACAGAGAATCACTATTATTAATCTCATAGTGATGTTTGCTATGGAAAAAATAAAGTAGGGATATAGAAAATGTAGTTTTAGGTCAGGGAAAAGCCAGATCATGTAGCGATGATTTTAATGAGAAGAGTTGAGTGAACACGTCAGGTTGATATTTGCATATTCCATTTATTGGAAACCATGAGCACAGAGGCTTTGATGCAAATTGGAGAGTTCAAGGAAGCACTAGGCAGTCAAATTATCTGGCACAGAGAGTACAAGGGGCAGAATAAAGTTAAAAGATGAGGTTAGACAGCTAATAGAGGGTAAAAATCATATAAACTTCATCAACAATAATGCCTGGCCATTCCCATCGTTCCTCACTAAAAAAATCCTTGAAAGATTCTGAGCAGAGAAGTGATGTCTGCTAATATTTTTAAAAGCATCAGTTTGCCTACATTACTGAGAATATTTTGAAGGGAAATGAATACAGAATCAGGAATATCATTCAGTTAAATGACTTATTGCACTTAGAAGAGATTATTAGTTTCCACCAGCATGTTGGCAGTAGATGAGATGACTCAGTTGGATTCTAGGTAGCTGACATCGAGAGTTAAAACTTTAAAGGGATTTTCCTGTTTGGGTTCTTGCTTTTTCTCCATCTTGATCTATTAGAGCCAAAGTAAAAGAATGTTTTAATGCCCACCATGCCTCCAAGCCCAATCATATACAACTCTTCCAGTATACCTGGTTTTATAATAACTTGCTGGGTTTTTTTTTTTTTTTGAGACAGAGCCTCAAGCTATCCCCCTGAGTAGAGTGCCATGGCATCACAGCTCTTAGCAACCTCCAACTCCTGGGCTCAAGCGAGTCTCCTGCCTCAGCTTCCCAGGTAGCTGGGACCACAGGCACCCGCCACAATGCTCGGCTATTGTTTTTGGTTGCAGCCGTCATTGTTGTTTTGGCGGGCCCGAGCTGGATTCGAACCTGCCACCTTAGGTATATGTGGCTGGCGCCTTAGCCACTTGAGCCACAGGTGCCGAGCCCTAACTTGCTGGTTTTAACAAAATTCACTACTTAATGTTGTCTGTATGTTTCTAAACTTTAATCTCCTGAGGGGCAAGGATTGGCTCTTCTGTATGGGATTCTTTTAGCTAGCACTGTGTTAACTAGTCCATAGTTTATCCCTAGATTAGGAGTGGGCACATATGGGCCAATTTTGATCCTCCACTTATTTCTGGTTTTGAATGAACTGAGAGCTAAGAATCTTGGTTTTTACATTTTTAAACGTTTTTTGTTTTAGTTCTTTTATACTCAAACAGAACCAGAGAAGAATGTGCAATAGAAACCACATGTGGCTTGCGAAGTTGAAGGGAGGGGGGTGGTTTCATAGAGGGAGGGTTAATGGTGGGACCACACCTATGGAACATATTGCAAGGGTATAAGTCAAATCTATCAAGTATTGAACACAAACGTCTTAACACTGTGATTAAGTAAATGAGGTGTAAGCTATGTTAATTAGTAGGATGTAAGCACTCCAATTTGTACAAATAATCAACACATTGAATCCCACAAAGGTGTAAATGTATTTGTGATCTATGTATATATGACTTAATAAAAAAAAAATAAACTATTCTCTGTGTCCCTTTACAGGAAGAGTTGGTTTTTCTGCCCTCGATACTCATAGTTGAACTACAATCATTAAATATTTAAGAGAATCATTTTGTCAGAATTAAAACACAGAGATGAAATCTGCTTTTTATCTACCCTCCAGAGGGGACAGTCTCTTTATTACCAAGTGGAAGAAACCTCTCAGTAGCTTTGTTGACTTTTATTAGCGTATAAGACTGTGTATTGAAAAGAAAAGACTTAGATTTTGGAATTATTTTGGAACATGGTTAAATCTGAAGATTGTAGGGGGTTATTGGTTATTTGCTTAAACATAAATATAAAATGTGTAACTAATCTTTTTTTCTAAAAAGTCTTTATTGACATTTATTCTTTAAATATTGAATAAAGTTTTAATTGGTGCTTTCTTCTATTATTGTTGTGTTGGGTTTTTTTGCAATTTTTGGCCAGGGATGGGTTTGAACCCACCACCTCTGCAGGTGGGGCTGATGTCCTACTCCTTTGACCCACAGGCGCTGCCCTATTGTTGTGTTTTAAGATACTAAGGAAGGCAGGTATCTTTAAGTATTTTGTCATCAGGAGTAATACATTTGACCTTTTTTATGATTTTTTTTAAAATAGAGCTATGACAAGTGCTTCCTTGGATCTTCAGAAACTGCTGATGCAAATAGAGTGTTCTGTGGTCAGCTTGGTGCCGTGTATGTGTTCAGTGAAGCCCTCAACCCAGCACAGATATTTGCAATTCATCAGTTAGGACCTGGATATAAGGTAGTAATAACTATATTGTTATAATTCTATGGAAAGTTTTAGATGTTAAAATGTGATAAAATATATGGTTTTAAGAGTCATCTTATTAAATGTTTCTTTTTGTTTCAAAGGTGCAGTTTGTCTTAACTATTTTCCCTTCATAAATTTTTTTATTCTTCAGAACTTTACGTAATATTGATGACATGCCTTTTGTTATCAGTTCTGAAAGAATTTTATAAATCTAGATTGTTTATTATTTGCAAGCTGAAATTTTAAAACATATACATTATATAATGAACTTATGCAATAACTACTTGTTAACATTAGTGGTAACTTGGAAAGAATAGAGATTGAGAAGGCAATTAGTATAACATATTATTTGTGACTAAAATTATTTAATTTTATTGTAGCTTCTTTTTTGTACTAGGTAAGTAGATACAGTAGTGGGGATATAATTTATCAAAACCACTTATTTACTTTATCGTGTACTTTCTGCTTTTCTTAACCTTTTCAACAAAGACTTATTTAGGCTTAATGTATATGAGTTGGCTTTTAAGGTGCAGAATGCCTCAAGGGGACTATGTAAGAGTTTTGTTTAAATGACATTGGAAATGTGGCATTCAAACTATTTGGAGCTGAGAGAAAATTATGCATAGTAGTGAAAGTGTTTCTAATTCTAGGAAGTACATGCTTTGTACTGAAGTGAAATTTTTTTCAAAAATTGACTCTGTTTAAATGATTAATATGAAGATTGTGTTATAAAGGAGTACTAAACATTTAAAACAGTCTTTCTTTTGCCTTTGTGTTTTTGCATTGATATTTATTTTTATGTTCTTTATCAGTTTGAATTTATTCTTATAAAAGGTCTTTTTTGTTTTTAGTGATTTTAATAACTGTAATACTGAATAACAATAGTGCTGCTATTTACATGTCAATTTAATAATATTTGTTCATATTTTGGCCATACCTTCTTTTTGTCAAGTTAGGGTCCCTGCTTTGTTGCTTAAGCTAGAGTGGAGTGGAATAATTATAGCTTGCTGCAACCTTGAACTCCTGGACTCAAGAATCCTTCCTTCCGCCGCCTCCCAGGTAGCTGGGACCACAGGCATTTGCTACTATGTCAGGCTAATTATTTTTTAAAATGTTTTGTAGAGACAAAATCTTGCTATATTGTATAGGCTGGTTGCAAATCCCTGGAAGCCAGCCATCCCAAATTTCTGGGATGATAGGCCTGAGTCACTGTACCTGTCCTGTCCCATTTATTTCATTTTGGTTTACTAGCCTGGGAATAAATTTGTGCTTATATAGCCACTTTTTCTTCCATGAATATTTTTGTTGGCTCTACTTTGTTGGGTCTTTTCTTGGTTCTGTCTCTGTTCACCTTGTATAAGAATGTTTTGTAATTTGTATTTTTGGATTCATATGCATGCACCCTGCTTTACTTTCCTGCTTCTTTGTCGTATTTCATAAAGTGTTTGAAGTGTCTTTTTTCAAGGTCTAACAGAATAATATCAAAAATAGTGGCAAAGAAATAAAATATTAAAAATGTAAAATATCGAGAGAATACAGATTACAAACCATAAGTCCAATATGATTGGCAATGTGAAATTTTGGAACTGATGGGAGCTTCTTGGTATCAAAAAAGGAAAAGGGATGAAAGTAATCCGTTTTAGAATTCTTCCATTCAGAAAGGAGCAAATACTGTCCTGACCAGCGTGGCAAACTCAGTAATTTGTCATGTGGCTCTTTATTTTTTATAACAATAGTAAAAATGAGCTGTAACCCTGTCACCTTGGTCTATATTAAGTACTCATGTGATACAGAATATATCCTGAACATCCTAATAGACAATACATTACAAAGTCAGAACTTTTAAAAGAAAATACCTCTAAATTTTGGGCATTAAGTCAAAAAATATTTTGGTCAGTTTTCAAAGTTCCAACTCTTATTGTTATTAGAGCCTGACTATAAATCTAATGGTAATAGATTTTCTCAGTTTGTAAATATTAAAAGTATAATTACTTCCATGGCAAACATCAGCAAAATTTTTTGGTAAAATAATCTTAAAAAGTTTTCTTGGCTGAGTGCAGTGGCTTACTCCTATAATCTCAGCACTTTGAGAGACTGAAGGGGGAGGATCACTTGAGATGAGTTTGAGACTAACCTGAGCAGTATAATGATACCCTATCTTTTGTCTCTACAAAATATCTAAAATGTTAGCTGGGCATGTGGCATGCTTCTGTGGTCCCAGCTACTTAGGAGGCTGAGGAAGAGGATCGCTTGAGTCCAGGAGTTACAGGTTGCTGTGACCATGCCAATGCACTCTAACTTGGACAACAACAGAGCAAGACTCTGTCTCCAAAAAAAAAAAAAAAAAAGTGTTTTCTAGAAATGTAGAGAATTTAGGGATGGAGGAAAGAATGCAAATGATCATACTGTGTTTGACAGAAAAAAAGTGGAATTATTCACATATTGTCTCAGTTTTCTTAACCAAGCAGGTGGCAAAGTGATGTCCTGTAAGTGAAGAGAGGGCTACAGTGAAATTTTTAAGGTGCATAGAATATTAACAGTTAGTTGGCATTTGTTTAAATGATGAGTGGGGTTCAGATTATTTAGTCTTGTATAGTAATATGGTAGTTGTATGTGTTACCTTGAGTTATATGCAGCTTCCTTTAATTGTGATAATCACATGATATTCTTTATGATTCTGAGCCTAATGTAGGTATCATGTCAACATATGAACCTTGAAATTAATGAAATATATGTATTCTCCCTTCAAATACTATCATCAAACTATATATTCTATAGAGCTTGTCCCAAGCGATTTTGACCTGTTGGTGATGAGGACACTAGGTAATTTTCTTTCTGTGAAGTATTTACTTTTGAATAATGTAGGCTGTAAGTGAATATTCTGTACTTTGTGATTTTCTATATGCAGTAAATAAAGGAGAGTATCACTTGTCAATGAAATAAATCATTAGATTTAGAAATGACATTCAAAGTACAGAAAATCTCACTCTATAAATAGTAAAATTTATGACAAGATAAGTTTAATGGGGAGTTCTATTCTATTTTATTGAACGGGATTATGAATTTTTTGAAATTTTTTTTGGTTCAGATTATTATGGGGTACATAGGGTTTGGTACATAGTTTGCTTTTGTAAGGTTAAAGTCTGAGTTGCAGTTGTTCCCTTTACCCAGGAATTGTGCCTATACCCATGATATGTTCCTGGTAGGTGGGAATTTACCCCCCTCTACCCTCTTTCCTGCGGTTTGTACTTCATCACATTATTTTCACATGTGAGCATTCAGTGCTGGTCTACTAGCTCCAGTTTAGTACATAGTACAGGTGATGCCTGTTTTTCCTTTCTTGTGATGCTTTGCTTAGGGGAATGGTCTTCAGTTCCATCCAGGTTTTTAAAAAAGATATAAGATCCCCATCTTTTTAGACTGAGTAATATTCCTTAGTATACATATATCATAACTTATTAATCCATTCATGTGTTGAAGGACACTTGGGTGTTTCCATGACTTTGTGATTGTAAATTGTGCTGCTGTAAACATTCAAGTGTAGTGTTTTATGATAAAATGTCTTTTTTTCCTTTGGGTAAATACCCCGTAAGTGGGATTGCAGTATCAAATGGTAGGTCTACTATTAGGTCTTCAAGGATTCTCCATACTACTTTCCCCCAGGCTTGAACTGGCTTGCAGTCCCACCCACAGCGTATGAGTGCTCCTTTCTTTCTGCATCCACACCAGCATCTGTTGCTTTGGGGCCTTATGACATGGGCCATTTTCACTGAGGTTAGGTGATATCTCAATGTGGCTTTGATTTGCATTTCTCTGATGATTAAAGATGATGAACATTTTTCATGTGTTTGTTGGCCATAAGTCTATCATCCTGGGAAAAGTTTCTCTTCATGTCTCTTTCCTAGTTTTTAATGGGATTGTTTGATCTTTTCTTGTTAATTTGCTGGAGTTCTTTATAGATTCTGGTTATTTGCCTTTTTCAGATATGTAGTATGCAAATATCTTCTCCCATCCTGAAGATTTTCTCTTTGGTTTATTGTTTGTGTCCTTAGCTGTGCAGAAACCTTTTTTTTTTGCAGTTTTTGGCTGGGCTGGAATCCCACTACCTCGGGTATATGGGGCCAGTGCCCTACTCCTTTGAGCCACATGTGCCGCCCTGTGCAGAAACTTTTTAACTTGACCATGTCCCATGTATTTATTTTTGTTGTTGCTGATATTGCCAGTGGGGTCTTTATAAATTCTTCCTGTGGGCCAATTTTAAAAGTTTTTCCCATACTTTACTCTAGGATTTTTATGTCTTAGGTTTAAATTTTTTATCCATCGTAAGTTAACTTTAAAAAAAAAAGTTAACTTTTGTGCGTGGTGAAAGGTGCAGTCCTGTTTTAATCTTTTACATATGGCTAACCAGGTTCTTCCAGAACTGTTTATTGAACAGTTTATTGAACAGGTATTCTTTTTTTTTTTTCTTTATTGTTGGAGATTCATTGAGGGTACAAAGAACCAGCTTACCTTGATTGCATTTGTTAGGTAAAGTCCCTCTTATGATTGCGTTCTGCCCCCAGCCCCCTCCCTCCTTCCCTCTCTCTGCTTTCCCCTTTCCCCACCCCCCCACTCAATTCACATATGAGCCATCAACTGTCCTCATAGGAGAATTGACTAAATAGGATTCTTGCTTCTCCATTCTCGTGATGCTTTACTAAGACTAATGTTGAATAGGTATTCTTTTCCCCAGTGTATGCTTATTTACTTTGTCAAGGTCAGGTGGCAGTATGAGGCTGGTTTCATCTCCGGATTCTCTGTTCTGTTTTACAGGATAAATCTCTATTTTTATGCCAATACCATGATATTTTCATCACTGTAGACTTGTGCTATAGCCTGAAGTTTGGTAATGTCTCCAGGTTTTTTCTTATTATGTAGAATTGCATTGACTTTTTTTTTTTTCCTAATTCCATGTGAAGAGTAGGACTATTCTTTCAAGACTGTGTCTATAT